GTGAGTGAGTGAGTGAGTGGGGTTTAACGCCCGCTTTTTACAGTATTCCAGGCATATCAGGGCGTGTCAGCTTAATGTGGGAGGAAAGGCCGAAGTGATGCAGGTCTCAGACGTTTGCCACTTCGGTGCTGACAAACCTAGAAACATAATCGGAGCGAACCGGGATTCGAACCCACAATCACAGGTTTCTGACGTGCCCAAGGGACGCAACTCTGCACAGCGAATCGCGGCACCTTACACGACTGGGCCACCGGTGCCCCCTTTAGAGTTTTAGAGCGAGTTTGGTTTAACAGTTATATCAGGGTGTCATCATGTTGGAGGAAAGCCTGAAGAGATGCAGGTCGCAGATGTTTTACCAGCACTGGAATGGTGATAACAAACCTAGAACCATAATTTGGGCAAACATGGAATCGAATCCATAATTTTAGGTTTCTGGCTTGCCAAATTCTAACTCTGCAGGCAAATTGCCCTGTAATCAGCCATGAGCATGTTATAGAAAAACACAGACAACAAAACACCATATTACTTTCTAATTTTGTCTTTTTTATATCCCAGTTATTTCACTGTGAATGTTAGAAACTCCATATTTTCAGTGGATGTTATGCATTGCCATACAAATGTAACGGGTTGTTCTCAAACCAGGAAAAGTTGTACAAAATACACTCCACTTGTGTCCACATCTGGTCTTCTTAATGGCAGATCTGAATAGAAGACATATTTATGTAACATAAACCTGCATAATTACCCTACATATTATGCTACAATAATCATGCATAATGATCACAGCTGTCATCACACACAGCCCTTCCTTAACACAACAATATTGGTATCTGTACAGTGCAAAGGTGGTTCACCACTATGTATAACATAACGAGGATTCAAGGCTGCTGATGCAGTGTACTCATTCATTCATCAATAGTTATTCAATTTTAGTTTCAAATTAATTCAGATAAACACCAATATGAGGGGTGGATCTTTTCCACAAGTTATATAAAAAAATTTTTTAAATGTCCTAAACCCGAAATGCTGGATGTTCTGCAAACAAATAATCTTTAATATTCTAATAATAATATCTATTTATAAGTCTTATGGACTGTTTCACCAAATTAAAAAATGTATGAAAATATTTCGGTTATGTCAAATCTTCAAACAAATTTTTTATTCTTAATTTCTGACTCAAATTACTTTTATTTTCGGGACTTTTTCTGCATATCTAAATACCATCCTGTTCTTCATTGCAAAGAAACACTGGCATAATAAACCAAATATAACTAAACATTGATTCTGGTTCCTGTTATTAATGAACATGTATCTCATCGTAACCCCACAGAACTGAGATATGACATCAAGGAAATTGTTTCACCCACTTACCAAGAATCATGGAGAAATGATCTTGAAACTATGCATTAAGCCATACTGAGATCTCCATTAATAAATAGTCTCATAAGAGACTAAGTTTTAAGTTTTCCAAAGACCAAGATTGTTCCCTGTTTTCTTACAACTATACTCAGCAAAAAAGAACCGCTAAAGTAGTAAAATCGTACATATCTGACAGTGTTGCTGATCATCCATACAAAATTTATACCAAAAATGAATCGGTCATTTCTGCATGGATTGTGATTGATTTGTGCGGAAAGAATGAGGTTCTGCAGAAATTTGGTGAAAAGATTGGAAAATTGCAAAAACACAAACACGTGAGAACCTGTTGCCTAAGCACACCAACATGACAATCATGTGCAACATCACTTGTTGGGCTATAAAAAGTTTGTTTTTCATTTGCATGTCATGACAATCTTTCAGCAAGTGAACAGCGAAAACATACGACTGAGAAGCCCAGCGCAAGAATCATGTGCAGCTGTAGCCTGGTTTCACCTCCTGGCACAAAGCCGCATTAAAAGACCATGGAACCGTTATCAGACATCCAGGTCCCGCCATGGCCCTCCAGGTCTCCAGATTTAAACCCAATCGGACATTTATGGGATGCACTGGATCAACAACTGCGAGCACGTCAGCAAGAACCACCAACAGTTGGCACAAGCACTGCAGGCAGATTGGGTGAACGTTCCGCAGGCCACAATTCAGGATCTGATTGCTTCCATGGGACGACGATGCCAGTAAGTTTTGAGACTCAAATGGTGGACATTACCTCTTACTGAGGTAATAATATTTTTGCTCCAAACTATCCAAAGGTACCAGTCCACCAGTAGACACATGTGTAAAAGTTTGGTGTTCTGCTTGATGAGCAAACACAACCACCTGTTAGGACACTTTAAAAGTAACATGTGAACCCACCCTGTGACAAAAGTCTAAAATATGTTGCTTAGTTTCTTGATCTTATCTCAATTTTTATCTTAATTAGTATGGCATGTGAATAAAATTTTGCATGAAAATATAGTTAGCCATGCACAGTAAACATGACTTAAGAAAATGTAAAAACACCCATAATTTCACGAAGAATGTTTCCAGTCCTAGGAACGCATACTTGTATGCCATCAATGCCTAATTAATATTTCATATGGAACTCACTCTGAATCTACCTTGGAGAATATGTGGGGTTTGGATACGATACATGTTGTGAAACAATTAGATACAAGTTCCAATAATTAAAATTGTCCTACTAAATGATAAACCAATGGGGAAACAGAAATATGTTTAAGGCTCAATTGTCATCAATAAGAAACAGAAAAAGAAAAACATTTTGAGGCTCAATTGTCTCCAAATTGTTTCCAAAAAGTATCTTAAAATGAAAACCCTTGACTGCAAAGGAATTGAAAAACATTTTATTATTATTAATATAATTTGCTTTATATAACTGCCAGGATATCAGATCATGTGTCTTTTGCTAGTTTATCGAAACAATTTTTTCCTTACTGAAATTCAATTTCCAAACAAGACGACCACTTGAAACACACAAAATTGTTTTGTTCAGTGTTGAATGATATCAGGCAATCATGATACAGTACTGCTTCATTGTCTTTATAACCGTACACAAGTGGATAATAAGCAAAAATAACACTGAAGCAAATTGTTCAATTGGATGAAAGATTGACATGGAAATATTTAAATGATGAAAACGGTCTTGTACAATATCTACTTCCTCACTTTGATAAATGGAAATGAATTTACAGAGGCAAGATTGTGTCAGCATGGTGGTGGTGGTACAACAGGTCAAGGGAGATAACCCATAAGAAAAGTAATATTATCCCTGGAGTACACATTTCCAGCTCTTGATCAACGTACATGAGTAATTGTTATTGGTAATAAATCCTTTTACAAAAACCGCACCTTTCCGCTTCAATCAATCACATAAGTTATAGTTTCATTGATTCAGCAAGCATGCATCATGTTTTGGTGCGAAATGACCAAAAACGTTGTAAGTTCTGTTTATTGGTGCATACTGATGTCATATTTATATACACATGATTGTCAGTGTTTCTGGAACATTTCCGGTCTCAAGAACATGCAGGGGGATGAAAAGCAATCCAGTTTACCTTAAAATAGTCACATTGCATCTCACAGGAGGTAAAATATGGAAATGTGCATAAAGATGTCTACTGATGTGCTTGTTAATTGATCTCAAACTATTACAATTCAAATGTCTAAAACTGGTAATATCACAATGTTGTTCACATGAAACCTCATCATAAAGTATCGAATATGACCGTCACGTCAAATTTCAAATATTTCATAGCAATAGCACTCATTAATATTCATGATGACATTATACATTTCACATAAACTCCCAATCTGAAAGCCCACTTGCAATTCAGATCTTCCATCAGCTCAACTGAATGACTCAAGAGTAAGTGAGACAGTTGGGTTTAACCCCATCTGTAACAGTATTCAAGTTATATCACGGCTTAAAGTCGGAGGAAAGCCTGAAGTGATGCAGGTCTCAGATGTTTACCACTTCGGTGAAACCCACGAGCACGGGTATGGTGCTGACAAACCTAGAAACATAATCGGAGCGAAACCAGAATCATAGGTTTCTGGCGTGCCCAAGGGACGCAACTCTGCACAGCGAATCGCGGCGCCATAGACGACTGGGCCACCCGTCACCCCGACCCAAGAGTGATTGCTCACTTCTTTGTACAGTTATCACAGCAACTGAAACGCTGTAAATATCTAATGTCTGTCAAGTTGTCCCAGTCTAGACAGACACATCTAACTTTCCTTCAAGTCCTGCTCCAACAAACACAACATAAGGCCATTATTTTTATATTTGTTGAGTCAAGGAATATTTCTGTTGAAGTCAGATGTCAGAGGGAAGAAAAAAGACAGTCAATCAAGGAGCTTTGATTCCGAGCATTGTAAAGCAAGCAAAATGTTAACTTCATCAAATCATGTGTATCAAGGACAAGGGACATAACTCTACATACACCAGGCACATTATCAGCTGAGAGGAAGACTGATCGATCTGGTGAAATATTAATGTCAAAATGAGCATCATTTGTGTTGTTGATTTTTCTTATATCACTGAGCAATCACAAAATAGTGTGACCTCTCCAGAGAAGAAACAAAAGTGTACTAGAAAAAAATAAAAAAATTCCCATTTTCAAATAGGATCAGAAGATCTGTGATACAACAAAGAAAGTTTATGGCCCAAGAAGTTCCCACAAAGGAGAGATCATAACTGTTCTGGAGTTGTACACTCATCTCCAATAACCTCAAAATTCCAATAGTTTCCTCCAACTCAAGCTAGGCATGCATATGAACACAGTCAGCCACCACTACCAGGAGACAGATTGACTGAGTTCTTCGAATATACTTTCATTACTGACATCTCGTGTACTCACATAGTTGACTGCGAGTAATTTCTTTGGATATGAGTGGTTTCAAAAGCAGCTCTCAACCAATGGATGTTGACAAATCAGTGCAGTTCTCATGGCTACCTTTTTCAGAAAGATTTACAAAAGTAGCATAAAAATTCAAATACATAATCTGATTACAAAACATTCTGTTCTTCTCCTGTCACAACTTTTGAAATACTGTCTTGTTACATCTTAGGTTTCGAGAGCGCCACTGTCACAATACATCTTAGGTTTCGAGAGTGCCACTGTCACGGTACATCTTAGGTTTCGAGAGTGCCACTGTCACAATACATCTTAGGTTTCGAGAGTGCCACTGTCACGGTACATCTTAGGTTTCGAGAGTGCAACTGTCACAATACATCTTAGGTTTCGAGAGTGCCACTGTCACAATACATCTTAGGTTTCGAGAGTGCCACTGTCACAATACATCTTAGGTTTCGAGAGTGCCATGTCACATCTGAGGTTCTTTACCCCTAGTGTCAAGGTGAACACAGCTCAAGGAGCAGAACATGAAACTATATGGCACCGCCAGGCAAACAATCCAATCACCTCTGCACTGTAGAAATCACACTGACAACATGTAAGGGCTGATCACACAGGAACAACGTTTATTACTCCGTTGATTGGTCGGATTGTTCATAGACACACTTCTTTCACTCGTTCGTTCGCCCGTCGCTCGTACAAGGTCCAGGAATCCCTGGAGTATCACAGAGAAGCAATGTACACATAGCTCTGTAGCAATCAGTAATCATGTCTGGTCAATCTAAGGAAACACACAGCCGATTGAACAGCCTCATCCTAAACCCTCTGGTGATTGTTTAATTATCAACACTGGAGATTCTAAAGGCCTACTTATCAAACAAGCAGGGTAACACTAAAAGGCAAATAGGCTAATCCAGGCCTTCCACCTGAAGACTGTCAAACTATGAAGAATATTCTTTAAGATGACAAGATGAAGGTAAATGGCTCTACCCAATAAGGAATGAAACGTATATTCATAACATCCAAATAAAAACATTTAAGCTTATAATTGTACAGGAATTTGAAACCAAATATGAAACCATCAAAATGCAAAGGTTGAGGTGTCTATAGATATAAACATCTGCGAAAAAAGATCCTATATAAACATATTTGCTCAAACCAATATGAAATGCATCATAATTATAACAGTGAGTGAGTGAGTGAGTTGGGTTTAACGCCGTTTTTAACAGTATTCCAGTTATATCGCGGCGTGTCAGCTTTATGTCGGAGTAAAGCTCGAAGTGATGCAGGTCTTAGATGTTTACCACTTCGGTGATACCCACGAGCACGGGTATGGTGCTGACAAACCTAGAAACATAATCGGGGCGAACCGGGATTCAAACCCACAATCATAGGTTTCTGGCGTACCCTCATAATGATAACAGGTTTTCTTTGGTAATTAGAGATTATGAAGGTACAAAATAGTTAAAGCTGTTGGCACAAGATACAACTTTTTAAATTGCTACCCAGACTTCACAAGCTGCAAAGATCTCTAAATCACACTTTCTAGCCATGTCTGACAAAAGAAACCTGAAAATGAGAGTGAATCAGATCCTAAGCCTTAGCCAACAGGGCCATATATAGGTGTCAAGTAAGACCATAGTCCCTCAACCAGGTGACAGCAGTTTTATTCTTCTCTCCACCCATCCAAAAAACATGCAGTGAGGTGAGGTGAAATAGGGTTTAACGTCATGTTCAAAATTGTTGCACTTATGTATTAATATATATATAGTGTTTGTGTCTGTGTGTATATGAGCACTTGTGTGCGCACGCACTTGTACTAGTCCGGACTAATGCCGACTTCATAATGCTAGCCCACTGAGAAACCATGCTACAGTTAAACATAAATACCCCACTGAGACACAGTATACTGACTCCAAGCCGACCAGTCCTTGTTTAAGCCCCTTCATGCTAGCGCCAGACAGGGTAACAACAAGTACCATCTTTTAACATCTTTTGGTATGACATGGCCTGGGATCAAACCCCCGACCTTCTGCTCTCTGGGTGGAGGCCACACTGTAGTTGTCTCATGCCTGGGAATTCTTCACATAAGAGAATCTGTCTCTTTGTAATCTACTTCTCACCATGTCTTGCAGTTCGTCCTCAGATTGTCACTTGGTGCTAGGGATGTTATTATACACCTAAATATTTATGTACATGACACATGTAAAGCCTAATGCCATACTTGTTTAATTATGTAATATTATCATGATCGTATAAGAAATATTTTCTTTTCAAATCAGGGATAGAAATTTTCCCAAGTCAGTTCATTTAATGTCAACAGTCTTCTGAAAGCTAGTTGAATTTCAGGGTTTTAGGGATCATCACACTATCTGGGCCTAACACTATTTCAGTTCAGGCTATTTTTTTCTTGAAAACTTTGAAGTGTTATTTAGAAACCTTAAACAATTTTTTTTTCTTTCTATTTTTGAGAGAATTTGAAACAAATAGTTAAATTTATTTTAGCAACATTATGAAGTCAAAGACTGCTGCAGAGGAAAAATTACAAAGAATTATTCAATATACATATCAGATATGAGAATATAAAATCTGCACTCTTATTGTAATGTCACTAATATAATGCAAGTATGCTGAGTCCAATATAGCATGATGTTGATATTGTTACTTATCTGTCATATGTTCACAACACTCTTACACTAGTATTTGATTACCATGTCCAAACACTTGTTATGAATCAAATTGACATGTACATATAATATACTGTTTTGTGACCCGATCATGTAAGTTATAACAAACAATGTACAATAAATAATAACAATATTTCTCACAACATGATCAACAGAGTATGACTTTTTTGGATGACACCAGAGGGTTGGATAAGGCTCTAACTGATGAATAAAATGCTATAATTAAGTATTTCATACTGCAGGGAATAAAAACAAGGGTAACAAGCCATGATGGTCTTTCTCTGCTTGTCTGAGCAGAATTCTGGATTAAAAACAACAACAACTCTGTCAGTCAAAGACGCCATGCTACACCAGTCTGGGTAAGTTCTGAATCTTTGTTACAGCCATCTCCGTGTCCAAGATGATAGCAAGGATGGTGATGATCCCAAGTGCAGTTGCCATGACAATAAGACCCACTGTTACGGGGCCAGATCTTACCAAGGACAGTGCCACCACACATGAAAGCCCACTGTTAGCGTTACGATGGATGGAGAACTTACTTATAGACAGTTGCCATGACACCAAGGCCTACTGTTGAGGGTAGATCTGACCAGGGACAGTTGCTATGACACCAAGGCCCACTGTTGAGGGTAGATCTGACCAGGGACAGTTGCCATGGCACCAAGGCCCACTGTTATGAGGGTAGATCACACCTGGGACAGTTGCCAGGACACCAAGGCCCAGTGCTATGAGGGTAGATCTGACCAGGGACAGTTGCCATGGCACCAAGGCCCACTGTTATGAGAGTAGATCTGACCAGGGACAGTTGCCAGGACACCAAGGCCCAGTGCTGTGAGGGTAGATCTGACCAGGAACAGTTGCAATGACACCAAGGCCCACTGCTGTGAGGATACAGCATAGCAAGGATGGTTGCCACGACACCAAGGCCCACTGCCTAGGGTAGATCTTCCCAAAGACATATTCACCACAACACAGCAAGGTCAATGGTTACATGGGTAGATGATATTTCCAAGGACACAATTGCCATGAGACTTAGGCCCACTGTTACGAGGATTGATGAAGCTCCAAGTACAACTGCCACAACACTAAGGCCCACCGTTACAGGGGTTCATGATGCTTTGAAGGACACATTTTACATGACATTAAGGCCCTGGATCTAAGCTTGCAACTGAGGAGTAACATCATTGTTGAATAAAGATGGCTCCATGCGGTGTATTCTTGAAGGATTTGACTTGGCAGCCATTCTCAGCACTTCTTGTGAGTGTATCACAAAGTTTCACAAGTTCATTATCTTTAGACTTTGCAGGACTTCATCCTTCATGTATCTGAAAGCAGAAAAGACAGGAAATGATTAGACTATTATTTACATTATCAGTATTCACATCTTGTTCAAAATTCAAAATGATAAAATAACTACTGCTTGGGCATTCCTGGTCATTCTCTTCATAAGAGCCGACTGAGGAAGATCAGGTGGTTATACGACAGATTATGTGTCATCATTCCCGAAAAGTGTGGATAGTTCCTCATAGTTCCACTGTGCTGTGGAACACTAGTTGGCATTACCACATATTTACAAGCCAACCAGTTCTTGTTTTACTTGTACTCCCTTAATGCTGAGCGCCAGGCAGGGACACAACTAGTACCATCTTTTGGTATGACACAGTCGGGAATCGAACCCACGTCTTTCCGTTCTCCAGGCAGACGCTCTACCTCTAGACCATGGAGGTGGTCGACAGTTTAAGAAGGTATATACAATGTACAAAACCCATGGATATCTCTAACAGGTGTAATGGTAACATGTCTCATGATTCACTAAGCTCCTTTGATTAAATGTTGGAACAAGGCGCTATATAAATATTAACTTTATCTTTATCATTAACTTTCCTATTATCATCGGTGCATCGGTACCTGAGTACACACATCAAGTTACAGTGGTTCAGTGTTACAGTAACTAAATATTAATTAAACTATAACATTGAACCAGGAATTTCAGACACAGTTGGTACTTGGGGCCAGCATCAATATGTATAACTATGACAGACGATAGCCATTGCATTATGTCTGATAATAAGAGAAGGGTTTAAAAGTGTGTGTTGAATGATTTTTGTTTTAAAAACGTGCCGGGACCAGTAATTTGAAATACTGTCGGTCTGTACCAATGGCAGATATTTTGGGTCAAATTTAGGTGATCTCCCTTTCTGAGTGGTCTCCCTTCTATGAAATTATGTGAGGGAAGTCACCTCCACAGACAATACCTATTGAGAATTCCATGTCCTATATTTGTTTTTTGATATTTTGTACATTAATGTGGCCATGATGGGTTATAAAAAGCTGGATGACCTTGTTCCTATGTTGTAAGTTCGGGAAGAACAAGGAGCTTCTGAACACTTCTTATTATTTGCTAACTTCATTTTACTCATGTCTGATACGTTAATCCTCACATCAATTCGTTCTTATTTGCCCTAAAACAAAAAGTGTGTACTGCCTTGCTATACACAAGGAATTAAGGTATGTGATATAGGAAAACATTCCACAAATACTTTTTAATCCAATGGATACCTTATTGATTTTGCTGCACATTTTAGTCCGAGTGAGTGTGTGTATTGGATTAGTTGCATTTTCTAACCCTGTGTTCAATGAAGACATCAAATAGTCAATAAAGACAAATAGTTCATGTGCCCCATTTAGGAGATGAACATACTGTGTATTCAATGCAGAGCAAGGTTACCTGTAGAATTAACCACGCTAAACTGAATCTAGAACCGAACACGCAGCGTGAGGTTTCAAATGTTAAATTTAGCATGGTTAAATGGACAGGTAGCCTAGATCTACAGTAAAAAGACAGTATGTTTATCTCCATTCTACCATGACTAAATAAAACGCAACCTATTTGGTGTTAGGGAACACATTGAGTGTAGCGGCATGGGTTGAGAGTCCAGTGTTTTGAGTTGGTTGTCGATCAGAATTTACAGAATCATCGACAACAGCTTATGGCCCTGTATATGCTCGAGCAGTTTGATTACACTGTAAAACATCACTCAAACTTATGACAGGCGTTGAAAGCATGTAGCAAAGCAACTTCGTAAGAAAACTAAACAAGCCTTGCTAAGGTATCTTTCTGCACCACACGCCACTATTATGACATCATATCACTCATTGCAAAGCAAAAGATATGATGTTACAGTCGTATATAGAAAAGCGGCAAATAGCAAGCTCTGTAAGTCCTCAAAACTTGAAATACATTCTCTTTGTAGATTTTTATCGTGTTTTCTGCATGATTTGTACACTCATTGCATCCTTTGAATATTGTTAACACAACTTTGCATTTTGTAGTCTGTAATTGTACATAAAATAATTTAAATATGCCTACTGACAATGTCTGTTAAAGAAGTACCATTAGAAAAATATTAGTTTCTGCAGTGATGCAACCTTAAATCAGCCGTTTCAATCAGAGGGGTTTATTGTGATTTGATACCTGTGATTGACCAATCAGAATCAAATACTTCCCAAATTCATGGTAAAATGGAAGTTAATTTTACTGATCAATGCAAAGAAGGAAAGTTATACTAAGCTACAGGTACCTCTCAGAAATATGTTTTACCTTTTTCATAAATATTTTGTGAAAAATTTTATTATATAAAACCTGTGATAAATGTAAATGGGAAAACGCACAGAAAATGAACTATGAGCAGGCTTTATGCCAAGGAAGAGTCATGACATAAGCCTGTAGATTTAGAATTGAAAGAGTATTGTCCTCATGATCTGAGGTTGTTTGTTTTTTGTTGTTTAACCAGCTATATGACCGCGGTCTGTAAATAATCGAGTCTGGACTAGACAATCCAGTGACTGACATCATGAGCATGGATCCTTGCAATTGGGATGATCAATCTCAAAGAAGACGAAAGGAACAATCTTTTCTCAATTATTATTGTCTAGCTCATGGTGAAATGGCATTGAAAAGTTTGAATATAGACCAAGCATTTTCTTCAAACCAAACATGAAAACAAGTACATTTCTACCCCAGCTCACTATGCCCCATCATCAAGTCCATCCAAAGCTATCTACTGGTTCCTTTAAGCATAGTTTGTTTGTAATGACGCTAATTTTAGCCCCCCCCCCCCCCCCCCCCACAAAATGTAACCTTTTACAAAAAGTTGACTTCATGTAGAATTTCAATCAGACATAAAAATTGTAGATTCTAATCATGACCTGATACAGTTCTAATACCATTCACACATCACAACAACAACAAAAAAAACTATTTGGGTACTGTTGTGAGTGATTATTTGGGAGAAACATGTTCAAACACTTCTGTACAAAGTTCTGTCTTTTCAGTCATTTAGCCAGAAGGTGGTAAAGCTCTTAACTTATTTTTCACTGACTAATATCAGTAATTGTACATCCCAACTTCATATCTGGTCTTGACTTGCTTCACAGAGAGTTTCCAGAATTGTTGAGTACATTTAAATGCCAACATCGCAGTTTCAAGGGACTCCTTAACTGAGTACAAACCGTATTCGACGTAATAAGTGTGCCGCTCTAATAAGCGTCCATGGCGATATTTGCTAATATATTGGCTAGTGAACAATCCCAATTAGCACCCCAATTTACAATCTTTCAACTCTGTTTTTTTCTCACCAAAATTATATTCTAATGAGAGTGAGTGAGTGAGTATGGTTTTACTCCGCTTTTAGCAATATTCCAGCAATATCACGGCGGGGGACACCAGAAATGAGCTTCACACATTGTACCCATGTCGGGAATCGAACCCGGGTCTTCTGCGTGACGAGCGAACGCTTTAACCACTAGGCTACCCGACCGCCCCTATTCTTATAAGAGCTCCCTATTTCAAATTTTGAGAGCGCACATCGAATACGGTACAGGTATATTATCTGATCATTGCAACCATCAAAGAAGTAATACATTCAAGTTCACACCATGCAAGAAGTAATCTGCTGTGAAAAATACCCACAGGATGATAGTGATCTCATCTGCCACTATTTACTTGACCTACAAATAGATATTTGCCATTTTCTCAATATCAAGGCTCAGTCAATGAATGTCAAGAACTTTTGAAGAATTTAACCTTACAAATTAAAAAGTTAGCACTTCTCACTGAAAGCCTGTAAATTCAAGCACATTACACATACATGAGTACCATTCACACCATGAGTGAGTGAGTGAGTGAGTGTTGCTGCTAAGGTCTCTAAAACAAGTTGGTTTGTACAATGTTTGACCCAAAACATGCCAAAATATGTAAAAGAATATACAATTAATCATGTTAATGAAAGAAAAACACTGAGTTAAGTATTGGTAGCAGTGGCACATCTCATATTCCTAAAGGTCTGATGAACATACAAAACTACCAGTAAATTATAATTATATCACAACATTATTATCATCTAATCACAGTACTAACAAAGTATGGGAATGAAGCATCATATTGTTACCTTACTGTGACATCTGGTCTCTCACATACTTTTGCAAATCAATATTGAGGATGGTAGATCATGCACAGTGAGTTGGCGAAGGGGAAGACACGGAAAGGGAATCGAACCCAACTTAGTGTGACAAGCAAACACCTGAAACACTAGACTACCAACTTCCCCCATATCACAATAATGTGTGTACTTATATTGCACTACCCTCCATACACAAGGCCCATGCTCAAAGCACTAACACTATTACCCCGGTCAAAGGATCAGTGTGCACTCTACCTCCATTCTCAGCTCCCTGGGGAATATGCAGCCCAAGCTGCCTTGTCTGGAGCTAGAAGGTTAACAGACACAATACCATCTTATCCTGATGGGTACCCAATTTTACTGCTGTATGAACAGAGGACTATTTGAAAACAATGTCACTTGCCTTAGGAGACACAACATGTGCAACATGTGCTTCAGTGTGGGGCAGGACAAAAGCCCTAGAAACTATTATTGATAGTCTCAATACTATTTTGAAGTCTTCTTTGGTGTTTAAATCTTCAAAATACAGCAAAACTAACCTTCTAAGCCATCTATTCATTAATTTTGATAAATTGCACAGCACTAACAAGTGCAGAAGAAAAGGCAATAACTGCCCCGTATGAATTGCATCAATCATCTTAATGATGTATTTCAGCCTTGCAATGGATGTGAACGATGGCTTTCATTAACACAACTGAACAATGCCATGAAATGTCATGTACATGATGTAGCGGTTGAGTTATAACTTTATATATCTTAATAAGTTCACTATGTGAGCTTCACAAATGCTTTATGAAGTAGACAAGCTACTGCTCTAAGTTTGAATATTTCATCCGCTAAACATGCTAAGCATACATCATACA